TTGTTGTTGTTGTTGCTGTTGTTGTTGTTTGTTTTGTTGGTTTTTTTTTGGTTCTGGATATCAAAAGGCATTCTGTTTTTAAATACTAGCTGGGTCCCCTTTCGATGAAAGGAATGATCAGTGCATTAACATCAACTGAAAGTTAGTGGCCTACTATATTTACACTCTACTGGAATGGAGCAATAAATCTTGAGAGAAAAGTGACACACGACGTGTTTCCAAGATACCAAATGTATAACAGACATATAGAGATAGATAATAGGAGTATTATTATTTTATCCGTACTTCTGTTCTTGCGAACTACTCACACGCACGAAGAAAGCAAAATGAAACGGAAGTAGCCCCTAGTAAAATATGAAATGGCTGAGGACAGAGCGAAAACATCTGAGAGCTTCGATTAACAGGGAAAACCATCAAACCTGAAAAACCAAAAGGTAGTTTCCGAACTTTGAAAATATGTGAGGCGGCGTGGTGGAATCAGGCTCTCGTCAAAATAATCAAAGTGAAGAAACTGGCATTTTCCCGCTAGTTTGTGAATTTTTATCAATTTTTGTTTTTTGGCTAAACACCTTCCATGACCATTAATTGAGGACTCATTTCTGTTTGGATGTTTCTGAAAAGCTTTGATTAAAGGCACAAAAATGTACATTTTCAGTTACCACGGACTCTCAAGCTTAGGAAGTAATTAATCTTTGGCGGCCGTTTTCTCACTAATGTTACCCCTGAAAACAGTTGACCCCCACCACATTCTTTCGCAAATATCTCACCTTGTATTTAAGATAGATGGATGTTTTTTTTCATCCAAATAAAGACCAGTGAACAAGCTTTAAGATGATACCAATAACTCTACATGCCCAACAATTGACAAGCGCCTGATTCCACCACGTCCTGACACATATGACCACGTAACCCGTTCTTACAATTCTTGTCTGAATCATTAATTTTTTTGTAGGTTTTATGGGCACCTGTGTAAAAAGTTTTTACTGACCCCACAAACCGGCTTAGCGCCATTATGATAAGATATTATCCTGATGATAATATCTATTTTTAAAAAGCCGTGCATTCAATACCAAACAAGAATGTCATTGCCCAATGCTCTGCAGCTCCAATCTCTCTTTCCCATGCATAAAAATTCATAATTTATTAAGCTTTATAGATTCTCACACCCACAGCTCTCTAGAGAGCCTCCAAACTTTGCCTCAGGGGGTACATGCTATATATTATATACCAAGAGTCTAAAGCGTCTAAATGGATTCGCTGTTACCAGCTTTCAAGATGGTGTTGATTTCTATTAAAAATCTATTTATTGAGCATCCTCAGTTTAAGTCACGGTATTCAAAATAAAATTTATATTTTCTGCGTAGGTCTACCTCAGCTCATGCGTGCAGCAAAGTAAGGTTCTTGTTCTAAGGTCAAGTTGCATCGTTACAGTGTTAACTGCCTTGTTCACTGACTTCCTGGTGTTTTGAGGAGCCTGCGATTTCCTGTTATGTGTGTCTAGTGTCTGTTGACCTTATTTCCATGGTCTGTGCAAGCTTTTTATTGTTGCTTTTATTAGCTCGTAAATCCGCGTAAGGGTTTAATGTATTCTTTTGTGCATTTTGAGTTGAATGCGAATCAATAATTTGCCTAGGAAAAGCAAATACATCCTCCTACGAGCAAATACTTCTGTAAAAAGAAAATGTATACCGACTCTGCTCTTATTCTAAAGCCCTTATAAAATCTCTCTCTCTCTCTCTCTCTCTCTCTCTCTCTCTCTCTCTCTCTTTCTCTATCCCTCTCTCTCTCTCCCTCTCCCCGCCCCCTCTCTCTCCCTCCTTCTCTCTTCTTTCTCTTTCTATTTTTCTTGAAAATGTAATTGCACGACGTCATTCTAAATTCTTTGCTTGGATAATTCTTCAAAAACTGCATGCACGCTAGTGTTTTTTTGGATAGATGCTTTCTCGTGTAAACATTGGCTCAAAGCAACATAACTTAGATCCACAGAATTCTACACTTATAACTTAATTTTCTATCTTTGGAGACGGAGGACTTGATGTTGCGATCTTTTATAACAATGTCTTGCATATTCAAACGGTCCTTGTCTCTTTTTAATGATGTCAAACAACAACTACATAGTTGTTTCCCCATCATCTGAGTCCTTGAAATACGAGAACTGGTGCTGTGTAAAGAGAGTCACATTACCTCTGTCGAGAGAGAGCGTTTTTGTAGTCTTGTCAGATTGTTACATTTCTTACATGAAAGTTTGATTCTGACTGCAATTCTCTGACCAAATTGACATCATAATATTATGGATCCCTGTAGTCGTGCTGTGTGAATTGTAAGTGTGGGAAAGTAAAAATAAACTCGCTTCCGAAGAGGATACATCAAAGAAATCTCATGGAGACCAACCCTTGAGTCCGAATAAAAATGTATATTAAATCAAGCAGTTGGAAACTTGTGCTTGAACAGCACATCTGATCTGGACATTGGCGGCAGTGATGTACAAAGATTATTCAATATTTTGGCCTGCTTTGTGCGTTCCACCCTATGAGAGGAAATAAAACGAAGCGCGCTTTTAGATTTAAAGTTGGGATATGGGAATATGGAAAATTGGATGCGGTACATGGGAAACAAGAGGAGAGAGAGATGGGAAACATCTGGTGGGATTTGGAATATGGGACTACGGTCATATGTGTACAATGATGACTGTATAGCATCGGGTCAGCCAGGAAATCGATCAGATAGAAAATGACAAGAAACAATAATTCTAACAATAATAACCCCCCTCTCTCTCTCTCTCTCTCTCCCTCTCTCTCTCTCTCTCTCTCTCCCTCCCCCTCTCTCTCTCTCCCTCCCTCTCTCTCTCTCTCTCTCTCTCTCTCTCTCTCTCTCGGGCAGGGGAGAGACAGGGAGAGAGCGAGAGGGAGGGAGAGAGAGAGAGAGAGAGAGAGAGAGAGAGAGAGAGAGAGAAGAGAGTTAGAGAAAGAGAGAGAGAGAGCGAGAGAGAGACAGAGAGAGAGCTTGCCCCCCCCCCTTCTCTCTCTCCCTGCCTCCCCCCTCTTCTCTCTCTCTCTCTCCCTCTCCCTCTCCCTTTCATTCTCTCTTTCTCCCTCCCTTCTCTCTCTCTCGCTCTCTCTCCCTTTCCCCCCTCCGCCCACCCCCCCCCTCTCTCTCTCTCTCTCTCTCTCTCTCTCTCTCTCTCTCCCTGCTCCCAGACAAAATTGCACGCGTTCAACTCACAGACCGTCACGCGCCAGCACAAGGAAGCGCTCAAGTCTCACGCGGACTCGAGATAGGGCAATTGAAACATCTTGGTATACACGGTCTTTGCTCGCACTACGCCCCGAATAACCCTTCACGTCCTCTCTCCGACACAACAGGTTTTAGAAACAATAATGAAAGTCATTTTCTGAATCTGCAATCACCAGCTTTTTATGTTATGCGGTTATTGATATTTTCTTCATTTATGAGACCTGAGAATCATATGTCATGAGAACAGACTTGTACCAGTTATGATATTTTGATAAGAGACATCCACTAATCTAAATAAACCGAATACAGTATGTCTCTGCATTACTTTCTGGGGTTGCAATGTCCACGTCCAGTTCCCATCGATGTGGAAAAAGAAACCCTAATAAAATGAATTTTATGTCGTATTCCAGGTGAATTTGAGATTTCATAACCATCACAAATTGACAAAACCAGGAGAAGAAGAAATCAACAGAACTATAACGGGGCTTGTTGGAAAACAGTACTCCATTCTTTACATTGGTCTGGGTTTGCACGAGGACCTGAATTTCGAATTTGTACATGAAAGGGTAAGCACGAGTGTTTGCGTTCATGTGTGTACGATTTTGTACGTGTGTATGTGCGCACGCGTGCGTGTGTGTGCATGTGTGTGTGTGTGTGTGTGTGTGTGTGTGTGTGTGTGTGTGTGTGTGTGTGTGTGTGTGTGTGCGCGCGCGCGCGTGCGAGCGCGTCTTTAGTATAAATAAGTAAAACATCCTTAACAGTTTGCATTTAAAATGAATTGCGTTTCGACATGTTGTCCTGTGGTCCCATCCACTTTTTGACAAGGAGAACCCACAGAATGTAATATAGACAAATTGCGCATGTAAACCAAAAGCTCAGCAATTTTTTCATGTGTGAGATTGCCGCGGAAGATTTTAGAAACAGCATGGCAAAAACAAGCTTGCCAATACTGGGGGTTTTGGTTAGAAGGTGAAGTATTTTCACAGCAGTTCGTTCAAAGCAAACTTAAAAGGCTGAGACATCTTAAACGAACGAAAGACAGGAAAATACAAAGAGACCTTCAATGTGAAAAGTAAGCAAACGGAACGTAGCAATTTTTTCGTCCTATTGACACCATTTAGATAATTTAGGAGGCAGCCTTCAACGAAGCCTTTCAGGGTCAGCCAGGGATGAAAATAATACTACACCACTACAGAAAGACTGAGAAGTTCTATGAAAATTCTCCTCACATGCTAGTTGAACTTGGATTTTCTATTCGACAGTGAAGCGCCTAACCGCTGCACCACAGACGCCGTTTAATAAACAGAAGTGGGAATTGCGCTGAGGTATTCATTAAATACATTTTTACCTCCTGTGGGCGCACTACAGAACGTGGGAGCAGGCAATAGAAGAACGTAGTTAACAAAAAGTCCCATCTCAAAAAGACAGCTACGGTGTTGTGCTGATGAAATTTTGTTTTTTAATCTCTTCGGGATTTTTGTTTTCGTTCGATTTCTTTTTAAAGTTGGATTTTGTTTTGAGTTTGTTTTATGGTTAGTTTGGGGGGGATTACATCTGTTGCACGTTGGTCAATATTTGAGGCCAATAGTTGTAAGGAACTGGCGGAGAACTAAGTGCTCCACTTCAAAATGACCTTTTTTAATAGTCAAAAAGGACGATTTCGTTATTATAGGTGTTTTTTTAGCCCCCCCCCCCCTTTGACACAATTTACATTATTTATTCAGTAAGCGGGCTTCTGCCCTGCCGGCCATTTATCCCTGGCTTACTTTGATATAATGTCCCAGCAGAAAGACCTATAGACACTCGATAACAATATTTTCCGCAAACGGGAATCGAATTCGGGTCTCCTGCGTGCTATGGTGAAGAGCCCAACAGCTACACCACCGATGTCGGATAGTAAGGCGCGAACACCTTGACAACCGTTTCTGCAATATCATTATTTGTACGTGTTTTATGTCTCTCAATGAGACAGTATAGATCATACCTGTTTTTATTACGTACGAGTCTACAACAGAAATGTTCAGGGTAGGAGAAGTAAAATGTAGATCAACCTGACGTTCTCTTTTTTTGTCGTCCTCAGGTCGTGAAGCCAATGGTGAAGATTGTTGGAAAGAACCAATGGCCTAAGATCATATGGGCCACCCCGCACTCCCCAGGCCCGCTCAAAACGCCGACGTTCACAAAGCAGCAGAAAGATTCAGTCATCGCTTTCAATAAGAAAATGCATAAGGTTTTGAAAGGTTATAACATCCCTGTCTTGGATACATTTCCCTTGACCACGGATATAATAAGTTATGATGGTGTACACTATGGAAAGAGGATCAATGACATCAAAGCGCAAGTTCTGCTGAATCTTATTCAAAGACTTAGAAACAGTGGTTGGTCGAGTGTGTGATAGATGCAAGCATGCTCATGTGTGTGTGTGTGTGTTTGTTCGTCTGTGCGTTTATGGATGTGTCAACTGGTGCGCATTGAAGGTAAAAGCATATAAACAGCAGAAAATCATTCAAATATTCTGACTCGTGAGTTTGAAGACTAGCGTCTGACTGAGGTAAAGCAGTTTGGCGCTTGACTGTCGCATGCCGGAAACCCGACTTCGATTCCCGAGTAGGGAGAAAATGTTCATCAAGTATCTCGGTCTTTCTGCTGGGATGTTGTATCCCTCACAGCCCGGGTAGGCCCTGACAGGCAGGGTCGGAAACCCGCCCCCTATATGATGTACGAGCTTGGTCCCCGTTCGATGAACGGATTGAGACAGAAGCGTGTTGATTGATCCCAGTAGCAAGAAAAAGAATTAAACAAAAAAGTCCAGAAAAAGCGATGATGGGCATCAAACGAAAGGATCACAGTCGAATTTAGCACCAAGTAAAAAAAGAAAACATGAGGCTAGATCTATACGGGTCGCACACTTAAAATAGTGCTCAGTATTGCGCGACAGTGCGCGATAGTATTGAACGGAAGTACGACTTGAAATAAGCAAACCTGGCGGATTTTCTAAATTACCAGAGGCAGAAGCATCGGCCTACAAAAGCGATCGGCGAAATAAAGAAATTGAGCTTTTTGCAGCAAAACTGTCTCAAAACTGAAAAAACGAAGGGCCTCATGATCTGGGGAATATTTTAAAGAATCTTTTGGCGAAAACCGCATGTCGATCGATGCAGCCATGAAAAAGCCTTTTGAATAGCAAAATTCGGCCACCACAAATAGACAATAGAATATTGTGTTGATGTGGGCGTAAAAAAAGAAAAGAGTTTGGAGAATACAGGTACGATTAATATTAAGATTTGTCGATGTTGAATGGGAACTAGATCTGATTTGACTTGCCATGATGAGGGAACAAAATTTAGCAGACAACGGCCAAACAGCTGATCGGTTGGGAAGGGGAAGTAGTGAGAGTAATCTCCCCTGCTTTATTGGAATGTACAAAACAATCCACAGCTAATTACCGAAACGTAACAATAACATGAATGACCGTAAGGTCACAAGTTCAACACCCCCACTTGATCGAAAACGATTCATTCACTCCTTCATCAACCATAAATATTGAAAAATGTAGTAAACGTAGATCAATGTACTAAGCATTGTCTACTAAGCATATTTTAAGAAAAGTAATGTTTACGATACCGGTACACAAAATAGTGTGAAAGAAATTTGAATACAGTGTAAGTAGTACTCAAATACAGCAGCCTTCAATGTAACCACATTAATGCATTAATTTCAATTTCAGCACTTTTGTTTTCACATCACCGTTTACAACACCTGGTCCCGTTACAATGTACTTTCCAAAAATGATATCTCTGAACTTGTTCAGCTTAAATTTGGTAGCAGGCTTCGTCATCAAATCTGCTGACATTTCACCAGTGGGACAGTATTCGGGTTCAAATCTCTTCTTGTTCAGTTCGGAACGTATAAAATGGTACCGAACATCAATGTGTTTTGATCTTCGATGGTTCACAGGGTTGTTGGCTAGGGCAATTGCGCCCTGGTTGTCCTCAAAGACCACAGGCAAATTATCTCTAACACTAATTCCAATATCATAAAGAAACTGACTGAGATACAAAACCCCCTGCACTGCGGCTGTGAGAGCAATATATTCAGCCTCGCAGGATGACAGAGCCACGACTGGCTGTTTCCTTGATTTCCATGAATTCAGAGGACCTTCTTGTGTCAAACCAAAACAGTAACCTGATGTACTGCGTCTATCTTCAACACTGGATGCCCAATCAGAGTCACTATACCCAATGAGCCTCAGGCCTTTTTTACTCTTTCTGAAGCACATCTCATAGTGTGCAGTTCCCTTCAGATACCTCAACACGTGTTTCAGTGCTATCCAGTGACACTGGAGGGGGTTCGACAAGAATTGAGAAAGTCTGGTAACAACCCAAGAAATATCAGGTCGAGTACACAACATCAGGTGAATTAGACTTCCAACAATCTCTCGATACCTACGGGAATCAACAGGTTCACTTTCATTCCATTCTAGGTTCTGTTCACATGGAGCACCTCTAGCTTTACAGTCAGACATCTCAAATCTTTCAAGCAACCTCTCAGTGTACACATTTTGGTTCATCTTAACAAAGCCATGTCCTTGTTCAAAGTTAATGCCCAGAGAGTATGACAGTTTTCCCATGTCCTTCATCTTAAATCTATCTTTGAACAACTGCTTTGTTGCACATAAAAGACTGTCATTATTTGAACCAATAATCAAATCATCCACCCAAACAAGGATCATAACCATACCTTTCTCACCATGTTTGGTATAAACACAGTTTTCAGAAGGAGACTCTACAAAGTCATTCTGTTCTAAAAACTTGTGCAACATTTGGTTCCAATTCCTGCCAGACTGTTTCAACCCATACAAAGATTTGTTCAATTTGTACACCATTTTCTGCCCACTTTCATTTTTTACTTCAAAGCCTTCTGGCTGTTCCACATAGATTTCACAATCTATGGGAACGTTTAAGTATGCTGTCTTCACATCAATCTGATGCAAAGTTAAATCATACTGTGCAGCGATCTGCATGAGAACACGCACTGAAGTCAAATTTGCAGTAGGTGCAAAGGTTTCATGATAATCTAGTCCTTCTCTTTGGCTATATCCCTTTGCCACATATCGAGCCTTGTAGGACTTGGAACCATTTGCACTTTCTTTGACTGTATACACCCATTTTCCCCCCACTGCTTGTCTACCCCCAGGGAGAGTGGTCAGAGTGTAAGTGCCATTTTCTTTCAGGTAGTTGAATTCTTCATTCATTGCTTCTTTCCAAAACTCTGATTCAGATGAATCAGTGGCTTCTTTAAATGTTTGAAGAAAAGAAGAAAATTTGTAGCAAAAATCAACATTCAACATGACATTATCTTCATCAAATTCTGTATCATAGTCAGACAGATACGAAGGAGGTTTTCTCTCTCTTCTGGGATATCTCCCATTTTGTTCAACAAAGGATGGTATATTTTCTGGTTGTTTACATTCTGACCTCTCTTCAGGAACATTTTCAACAATAGGAATAGGACGTTTTACAAAAACATCATCATCTGAAAAATCAATGGTCTGAGTTTCCCTTTCAACACAATCAAAAGCTTTCTTTGGGACAAAGTGTACCACTCTACATCTTATCACTTTCACAGTATCAGAAAAATATAGCAAGTATGCTGGACTGCACCTATCATATCCAACAAAAACTCCCTTTTTGCATCTCTCGTCTAGTTTTTTCTTCTGCTGAGAGTACACATAACAGTCGCAGCCAAAGACTCGCATGTTCGAAATATTTGGTCTGCGCCCTGTCAGTGCTTGTACTGGTGTTTGTTTCACCCTAGCATTGAAACATCTGTTTCGATTGTACACTGCTGTGTGCACTGCATATGGCCACAACGCTTTTGGCAGCTCACTTTCAAGGAGCATACATCTCCCCATTTCAAAAATGGTACGCCACTGCCTTTCAGCTGTCCCATTTTGATGGGGCGAGTAAGGAGCTGACATTTCCTGCTTAATCTGATTTTTCCTTAGGAGTGCCTTAAACTCTCCTGAAGTGAATTCCGTCCTATTATCTGATCCTATTGTCTTTACCTTCCCATAAGGGGCTGAATCTGCTAGAAACCTTTCTGTAGCCTCCATAGTCTCACTTTTACTTTTCAAAAAGTACACAAACATGGCACCTGAAAAATCATCTGTAAATGCAATTGCATATTTAAAGCCTTCATGGGAAGTAGGAGTAGGAGTAATTGGACCTGTAAGATCAGTGTGCACCAACTCCAAAGGAGAAGTGGCACGTTCACGTGGATTCTTACTTCTCTCATTCGTCATTTTTCCCTTCACACACACCTCACATTCCTTCTTCTTTGCCTTCCCACTTATCTTCATGCCGTCAACAACACTTTCAAGCCTCAAAACATCATCAAAATTGCAGTGACCAAGTGTTTCATGCCAACCCATAATATCCTGAGTATAATTCATCTTGTCAACAGTATCATCTGAACTGTTTGTATTGAGATAATATAATTTTCCCCGCTTTTCAATTGGAAAGCTTACAACACCATCTTTGACTAGAAGTTCTGCTGTATCTGAGTGGAATGAAACACTTGCCCCCTCGTCAGTAGCGGCCTGAACCGAAAAAAATATTCTGAGGAAAAGTTGGTACATACAGAGCATTTTTCAGAGTAACATCTACAGAGTTACCATCAGAATCTTTAAATTTCATACTCGCATTTCCTCCTTTCACAGCAACATTCACTCTCTCTCTCCATTTGCTAGCTCTATGGAGTGTTTTTCAGATCTGAATGTCTTATCAAATGAACAAAACTTTAACACATCATTCAAAATATGGGCAGTAGCCCCACAATCAACCAACAAGTCCGCTTTGAATTTAATTTTCTCGTCAATGTTCGTTTTCACTTTGAATGCGAATGTATGTTCTTGGTCATCTGTGCGTCGTGCATCCGCAGCCTCATTAACTGTGTCTGTTGTGTTCTTCCTCTGAAATCTGCACGTGTTATTAGAGTGATTATTCTTTCTGCATAGTTTGCACCACAGTTTCTTTTGCCTGCAATTCTTTGAGAAGGGTCCGAGAGGAGAAAATTTTATAGTAGAAAAGCAGATAGAACTTCGTAATTTTAGGATAGTGAGTTAATTCTAGTTCTCAATGCGCAGGAGGGCCTTTGAGATTTCCATGGTGTAAATCTTATTCTTTAACTCTTTAAGGACGTAACGCAACAGCAGCAGATCAAAGGCAATGCTGAGGCACATTTCAAACTATCAAACATTACGCTACCTCAGAATCACAACCTTCTATCTGACATTTTGGCCGTTTTGAGTTACTAATAGGTCAAAAGCAAATGGTTCTGTCTGCTCTATTAAAATCGTAAGATTGCTCGAAGTCGATGTCAAGATATATGCAAAGAATGCCATTCGAAAAATCTTGACATATTGTGAGACACAAAATAGTTTACGCCAAATTTCTCAGAACTAGGTAGGCCTACTGAGCAGATACAAGTAGGCCTACAACTTTGTAAGTCTGAGGTAACGATTAATTAATGAAACACGAATGTGCACATATTATATAGTTGTGCAATGATCCCTGGCTATAACAGGACCGCCAGAACCGACGAGATAGCCCTGATGATATAGCCAACTCCTCTTCTTCGAAGATCAAGTCTATGCATACACTGTAACTAATGATAAACGAAAGGGATCTATTTCTTTGCAAGAATTACCCACTACCCGTGCACCGGCTGTTGCTTTTTTCTTTGCCAATGATTTTTTTCCTCATTGTCCTCTTCCTTTTTGTAACATTCTGGCCTCATGGGGGTTGACTACACATAAATTGAGATGCACGGAAAGTAATAATAATACCATACTACTTGCATTTATATACACACCTGTGCTCCACGGAGCCTACATTATGATCCGTGCGCTTTACGACCGTTCGTAATCGAAAACCTGCCACGTTTGGGAAAAGGATCATCATGGTATAGATTGGCCTATTTTCATCATGGTATGGATTTGCCTTCTTTTATCATGGTACATATTTGCCTATTTTCAATATGCCATAGATTTGCCTACTTTTATCATGGTATAGATTGTCCTATTTTCACTCTCGAATATTATTATAGTATAGATTTTCTTACTTTAGGAGAGGGTTTGTCAATGGAATCATAGCACTGCTTTCAAATCGTAGTCCCTAAGAATTCTAATGGATATTAATAATA